AAGTCTTTAAGAGACGGTGCAGAAGACAGTAAAATCAGATTGATAATTAAAAAAAAGGATTAGTGACCTGCCGTTTATTATAATGAAATGGTAAATAAAACGCTTTTTTGTAGTTCTGTCCCGTGGCACTCCGCTATCAGATTACGTTACATCAATGACACCAATGTTTGACGACTGTTCTCCCGTTTCAGTTTACCTTAATCCTTTCAACCGCCATTCTAATACTGTCCCTTCAGCGGTTAACCCTTCTTGTACCCAAACAGGAACATGTTCCAAAGCTACAGATGAGTTCACCCACAGGTGAAGTGAGACGATCCACACCTATCCCGCCCACTTCATTCTCAGATACACTTCCTGATTCGCTCGAATCCCAGCAGTGAGATGTTTACCAGTTAATTTATTCCAACAAATGTCCTGCAGTACCCGGGAGGAAGTGTGAGAGAAGTGAAAGTTCGACCCTTTTAAAGAGAGAAGGAATTCATCCCTCCAAAAGGAAGCCATAGCTTCAGAGACTATGAGGTCACTTCCTTTTAACAGAAAAATGTGCAGTCTTGTGTCCAGCTTAGTGTGTGTCAAAGACTGGGACTATATGAGGTTTTTATCTGAATGCTGTACAAAAGAGGAAGAGAATTGGCCTGTCACTGTCGTTTAGGCCAGCAATCTGAACGAGCTTACCCAGAATGTTAAAAGGTGACCTGCTCAGTTATGTTAACAACTTGAACCTGTAAAATGAGCAGGTTGCCTTAGAGCCGGCTATTTTACAGAAATGGATGTTTTATAAAAGTACATACAAACCCTACAGATTTGCTGAATTCAGAGGGAAGATAGAAGTCAGGCTGACTTGCATTTAGGTGACATACTTTTAACATCCAAACTCTAACCCATCGTCCAGGCTGTTTTTCAGATCAGTCCCAGCTGTATACTATCTCTGAATTAACAGATTAATTGAACCACACAGTTTGAACCACTTTAAACTGAACACATTTTTCCATTGAGTTAATCCAAATTTTTATTTGTGGAGGATTTCTGTAATGGTGAGAGTAACAAAAGTAAAAAGGACCCTTTCATTCAAATTAAATGTCATTCAAAACACCACTTGAGAAAGTTGATATAAACTCTCATTTGATTCTGGTTAATAAATCCTTTAGCTTAATGATGATTAAAAACGGATTAATAGGATTCACGAATGCTGTAGTATTTGCAATTTTATGTTTTCAAAATTTCTTACACATATCTGCTTAATATATATATATGTGTGTGTGTGTGTGTGTGTGTGTGTGTACGTATAAATATATATGTGTGTGTGTGTATGAATATAACTATATATATATATATATGTGTGTGTGTGTGTGTGTGTATACGTATAAATATATATGTGTGTGTGTATGAATATAACTATATATATATATGTGTGTGTGTGTGTGTGTGTGTGTATACGTATAAATA